ATGTCTGTGGTGAGTTGGTAAAATGGATGTCTGTGGTGAGTTGGTAAAATGGATGTCTGTGGTAAGTTGGTACGTAAAATGGATGTCTGTGGTGAGTTGGTAAAATGGATGTCTGTGGTGAGTTGGTAAAATGGATGTCTGTGGTGAGTTAGCAAATGGTATGCGCCCGTCTTAGAAAGCTTAACATTTCTTGTCTGTGGTAAGTTAATAATATGGGCCATTATCTTGCGAGATTTACAGAAACCAACTGTGATATGAACTCATGCATACGTAATGCATATCTTCTTTTGATTCAGAAAATATTGAAGTTCCTGTTTTTAAAAGAGCGAAATTTGTTGGACCAGGAGGCTATAATATTAGGAAACTGATGGCTGGCACAGGTGAGATCATGTTTTCTACATCGAGTGTATTGATACTACCATACTGGACTGTGTTAGCGCCCATGCCTGGTCAAATGCCAACTCCCACTTTTGCGCAATTTTTATATTCAGGGTCATATTCGGCAAAGAGTCCAACTCTTAAAAATGACACTAATTTAAAACTTGGTTTTTGATCATTAGTCCCCGTTCGGACATAGTCCGAAACCGGGGACTTATGTTTTGCCCTGTATGCGTGCGTGCGTCCGTGATCACCTGTATCTCGAACATGCATGGACCGATTAAGTTCAAACTTCACTCATACATCACACATTATATGGGACATATGCACATGCATTTTTTTCATGATCCGATTAACGATAGCCGAAGAGCGGCCATTTTAAGGCCGAAAATGCATCAAAATCACACATTTTCACCATTCCGGACCCGGATCTCAGTTATGCATGGACGGATTTTGTTCAAATTTGGTACATACATTAAACATAATAGAACCTTGATGCACGTCATTTTTTTTTTGGATCGGGTTTGAAATGGCCGACTGGCGGCCATTTTGTTTTAAAGAATTCAGTTCTGGATCCGTATCTGAGACATGCTTGGAGTGATCGAGTTCAAACTTCACATCATGTCACAAATATGTATGTGCATTTGTTTCATGATCTCATTAACGATAGCCAAATGGCGGCCGCTTTAAGGCCGAAAATGCATTGAAATCGCACATTTTCACCATTCCGGACCCTGATCTCAGTCATGCATGGACGGATTTCGTTCAAATTTGGTACATACATTAAACATAATAGGACCTTGATGCACATCATTTTTTTTTCGGATCAAGTTCGAAATGGCCGACTGACCATTTTGTTTTAAAGAATTCAGTTCTGGATCCGTATCCAAGACATGTCTGGATTGATCAAGTTCAAACTTCACACACACATGGTACATCATGTCACAAATAGATATGTGCATTTGTTTCATGATCCGCTTAACAATAGCTGAATGATGGCCATTTTAAGGCCGAAAATGCATTAAAATCACGTATTTTCACAATTCCGGAACCAGATCTCAGTCATGCATGGATGGATTTTGTTCAGATTTAGTATAATGTGTTGTACATATGCAGGTGCATTTCGGTCATGATCTGCTTTGAATGTATATGTCACTCAAATATGAACGCAACGGGGACGTGTCATTGACAATGACTTGTTGCCTAACAAATAACCAGGCGTAAACTATGCTTCAACAATGATCTGTTCATAAAAGTAAAATGCGGTAAATATTTCATGCCATACTCAGTCCAATACAGTACATCTAGTGTCTGTACACTACATCTATCACTTCGTCAGGGGTAACAGTGACACAGGTTGATGAATCAAATTTTTCTTTTTGTCAGGGGTAACAGTGACACAGGTTGATGAATCAAATTTCTCAGTGTTTGCACCAACACCAAATGCAATGATAGAAGCTAAAGAACAAATAGAAGAATTACTTCAGGATGATGTAAGTCGATTACAAATACATTTATACCAGCATTTATGTAACACCTGTACATACAAATCTGGTCAAGGTTTAAATTAAATTAAATTGTGTTTGAGGATTTCAGTTTAGAATAAAGCCCTCGTACTCAGATTTTTCTTGGATATGAATTCTGACCTGAAATAAAAAGATTACCAGTACTGCTTTTATCTCTCGCCACTCCAACCATCTATATTAGGGGGAATTCATAAGGCATTTAATGATTTCTGTCAACAATTTGTAATTCACTATTGTTAAGTGGAATATGCTATAAAATTCCTAGCTCACATGTTAAGCCCTGTGTAGAGCAGAATATATGACAAGTATCAAATTTTAGATTAATTCAGTCCTTATTTGGGAAAAGTCCTGAAACATGGACTTATAGATTGACTCCCATGCATTCATTAATGCATCTTGTGTGTCTTAGACATGACATGAAAAATTATATTAAAACTTCTCACAAACATAACACATATGCACATTCATTTGTTTGACAATCCGATTCAAGATGGCCGAACAGCAGCATTTATTGTGATAAAAATTTTCCAGCATTTGTGCTTTTGTGCCTGAAACTTGGATTTTTGAGAGTGTCATTCCATCTTGTGGAGTCAAAAACATTTTTAGTTTGACTGCTATTTGTAAATGTACATGTGTTTCTGAAAAACTAAACTTAAAATTATGTTTCTTATGTACAGTTTTGAGTCCAAATGTTTATTTGGTCAGCTTCATAACTGTCCTGAGTGTTTGCTTGTAAATTAGGGTTCATTTCATGATACTGTGTCCATAATGTTTTCATATTAATTGTTTTTTTATCATTTTTGTGTTGCAGCAAGAAATTGAGTTGGAATTTGGCGGTGTATACACAGCAACTATTACTGAAATAAGGTAAATGTTCATTTATATTCATTAACTATTATAAGCTGCCGTGGTCTATACGGTGAGTTATGTCATTGTAATGAAATGTACCATCGTTAAATTCTTGTCAACATTTCAATCTAACTGTATTGCAGAATAGCTGCCATTGTGACAATAGTCTGGTTTAAGTTGCATTTCTGTGTTGTATTATATCAGAGGTACATTACTTGGGGTTTGAAACTACGGTGACATGATACCAAGATCCCGTTTCAATCTCGCTCTCGCATAAGCGTTCCAACTCAGAAAAATGCGAATGCGCATGCCCGAGGTAACGAGGATACTGGAATGTCCAGGTGGATCAAAATAGCTGCTCACGATATGACAGATTACGATAACTATATTTTCTGTACATTTTCGATTTATTAAATTTTTTCACTATGAATGTTTTATTGTTTATTGTTTTATTACAAACCGCTTATGTCATGTCAGAAGGTTGTAGCATCAGTCTTGCTATCTACGAGATGAGACTTGAATGGGATCTTTGCATGATGTCACCATCATACAGTACTATGAGTGTTGCAAACCCCAAGTAATGTACCTCTGATTATATACAGAATATCTTCCACTGATTTTTTTCTGATCACTGTGAAAAATGATAAAATCATTTTCTATGTCAACAAATTCAAAAATATTGGAACACTAAAACTAGCCTGCACTAAAGATTGTGTTTAATTCAGACTATTTTGGAATTCTTTCAAATTTGATTTCAGGATTCTGAAATTTCTCATCAACTGTACAAAATCCAAAACCCATAATGTAGTGCTTCCATAGTTCAGTGATTGGTTTTCTGCAGATATACAAAGTAGGAATGCTTTCAGGGGTCAGAGAGATGTTTTCTGAAGACATTTTGCTACTAGATCACAATTTCAATTGCCAATTACCAAACTTATTTAGCAATGTAAATTTATTACCATCAACTAATGAATGTCCAGGTATAATGGCATTGTGTTTACCGGATCTTATTGTAGATTGGCCGTCTGGTGACCATTTTGTTTCTCAGAAGTTACTGCATCAAACCTTTACTTTCATTAATCGTAATCACAGGGGCTATGTCATTTACAATAACTTATTCATATAGAGACATTTTTAATTCATCATCAGTATTACTAGTAATGTGAGTTATCTGATGCATCATCTTTTAGAAAGAGTAGTTTAGTATATTCTAGAAAAAATGTCTTAAATGTTTTGTTTTATTACTTACAGGGATTCTGGTATAATGGTTAAATTGTATCCATCAATGACCCCCACGTTGTTGCATAATTCACAGTTAGATGTTAGAAAGGTGAGCATACAATATTGAGAAGACATGTCACATGCATTTGTTTCAAGTTATGATTCAAAATAGCTGACATGTTTCATTCTAATTCGCTATTGTGTGATGGAACTGTAAATGAAAGTGCCACTATCATTATGCCATAATATCAACTAAAACTATTTTGTTATTTCATTTTATAGATAAGTCACCCAAGTGTTCTTAAATTTGAAGTTGGTCAAGAAATCACCGTTAAATTCTTTGGGCGGGATCCTGTCAGTGGTAAAATACGTTTGTCACGAAAAGTTTTACTGGCACCAGCATCAGCAGTTGTACGACATCTTGGACCTAAGGATAATTCATTCAGTAATACTGGAGTCTGAAGTGTGTGTCATCTGCCATCAGAAGAGTATGACATTCACCATTTGGGGATTATGACATCCAACATCAGAAGAGTATGTCATCCTTCTTCACAAGTGTATATCATCCACCATCAGAGAACTATGTAATCCACCATCAGAAGAGCATGTCATCCATCGTCAGAGGAGTATCTCCTCCATCATCAGAAGAGCATGTCATCCATCGTCAGAGGAGTATCTCCTCCTCCATCAGAGGAGTATGTCATGCACCATCAGAAGAGTATGTCACCAATTATATTAGGATTATGTCATCCACCATCTAAAGAATATGTCATTCACCATCAGAAGAGATGTCATCCACCATCAAAGGAGTATGTCATCCACCTTCAAAGCTGAACCCTTGTAAATAAAAAGTGCTATTTAAATATTTTTTTAAATCTTATTAGTCTTAGACAAGCGCGACCTTAAGAATTCTGTTTAAACTTCTTTTGTATTTTTAGACTTGAATAAAACAGCTGTCTGGTACTAATTTTTTAAATATAATTCGTATAAATGTACTTTCATTGTCTGACTAAGCACACAACAGATTCACAGGTGATTCACAATGTATACAAATCAATGTTACAGAAATTATTATATAGTTCATGTTCCATCCCTTGGTGTGTAGAATATGTCCTCTGAATGCAGGTCATAAAGTCTATATTAGGTATAAAATACTTCTTGATAGTTGCAATAACTGCACTAATTTCATAGCTCTTGGGACACAGCAGCATACAATACTGGGGACGCGGCAACAATGGTGTCAATGTTGGGACAGTAGCAGTTTGAAAGGTAACAAAGGGCTGCATTGACTATGTTTGTGAAATGGACGAAAAGGATGCCCATCGACTTTGTCAAACGGAGCTTATCATATCAGTGATTGGACATCGTCCGTCTTCGTTTTCGACTTCTTTTTGAAAACGATTCTTATTATTTATATATTATACATATGTTTATTCAAGTACTGCAGGCCACTGGCCCAAAATAAGTACAATTACATCATACAATAAATGCATGATGTACATGAAAAATTCTTATTGCTTTGATACTTGGTGATATGTACTTTGGACAGACCTCCCTTAGATTTGTTCATCTCGTGGTGATATCTTTAACTTTAATGTTAATTTTGATGAATATTTTTGGCAAAAAAAGTGATATTTTTTACTTCTTGTTAAAAACCACAAGTCTAATTGCTTTGATACTATACATATAGGTACCTCTGGTAGACCTCTCAGATTTGTTCATTTTCTAATATCTTCAGTTCTTTAATTGGAATGTGCATTGCTGACAGCGGATCTATCTCGGTCTAGAGGCTGCTTGTTTAATTTGAATCTGGAGTCAAAATGTTTATAAAAAATACATTGAAATACTTCACTGCTTAAATCAACAATTTGATGTTTATAATGGAATGCAAACCAATTTGTATGGGGTGTTTATACAGTAAAATGCAGGTGTTGCAGTATAGTCACAATTACCCTTATGCAAATCTATTTTCTAAAATGTAAGAATTCACTAGATACAGTCAAAGATAATTAGTGTTGATTTCATATTGACCCAGAACAATACATCAGTCATTTATGTATTCTAAGTAGCCAATTAAATCTTGAATAGAACAAATTTGCAAATAATTCTATTCTCTGCCACCATCAAGTCACCTGTTCCAAATACCATGTAACAGTTGAGTATTAGAAACTCTGGAGGCGATGGCAAAATTGGGGACAAAATAATTTGCATAGAAAAAACTTCTGAAAAAAATATTCTACATAGCATATAAACAGAACAAATACAATAAAATCGCTCCTCCTAATGATCCACTCTTAATATAGGACAGTGAAATACCTGACACAATGGCGATATAGAATGGGAAACTTCGGGAGGGGGTTGAACAACAATGGCGGCCATTTGCAAAAAAAAATAGATCTTCTCTAAATGTTTTTATATATAGTCGGGCTTCTATCACACCTGTCTAATTATCACGTAAACTTGCAGGCAGTCTGCATTAAGATATTTTGAACTATCTGACATCAAGTCACCCAACTTTATCAAATGTTTAATTCTAAACATCATCTTAGTCCCAAAATCGTGTGTTATACGATGTACATGTTTAACATATTGCAGTCCATCTTCATATCCAATAACTGCTGCCACTATCTTGAAGGCATTCTCATTTCGTCCTTGGGGAGTAATTGCTAAAGTAACTTCGTCTGTCTGAATCATGTACGCATTTCCAAACTCTGTCAGAGCAGGTTTCTGGAGTCCTCTGGGCCAGAATTGCAACTCCCACTTGTACTTGTGACAGTTATCTGCATATGATCCAGTCTTGGCTGCATCAAAACTACACGAATACTCAAATGGTTTTCTTTGAGAGTATTGTGTTATTTTAATTGTGGCACAAATATTATATTCGGCATGAGTATAGTTTCTGTGTGTGTAAATTTCAACTTCATCAAAATTCTCATTCTGTCGTAAACACTGTGGCACAGAATTAAATCTATAAGCATTGAGCATACACTCTTGATAGTGCTGCCAGTTTTCTTTTACAAATTCACGTTTCTCTATTGAGATGAGTTGTTTGGGCGTCATCATTGGAAATCTAACATGTTGCAGGGTGTCTTTCAAATTTTGTTGTAAATCATTTTCATTGATTGGTTGTGTCAGCCAGTCCTCCACGCCCAGATACAGCTTATGTTCATCAGTCAAAATAATATCGGAGCTCCTCAGAATCATAAGTAGTGTTTCTTTTTCCATGGAATGCCAGTCTGGAGACTCGAGTATAATATCCATGTTGTTCTGTATAAACATATAGCAGATTCGTTCTAGGTCTTTGTGTCCACATCGCTTACTGTATTGGTACCAGGAAAGTACGTGGTTCTCAGCAGCAATGGTAACGAAGTTTCGCTCCATGAAAGACTGACAGGCTTTCTTGAGATCAACCATGTTGTATTTGTCTGCCAGCATGAGCAGTGACACGGCCACATCTGTGTTGATGTAGATTTGTCCCGTGTATATGTACCTTAAAAACTCTCCAAATACCGTGGCCGTGGCGTATGGCTCATCAAGGTAGATATCAGGCTTAGAGGAATCTTGCCAGTCTCTACTGGTAAGCATAACTTTGAATACGTCACTAGCATTGGCAAGGAACACCTTATGGGCATAGTACGTTGTGTCTTCCACATGAAGCGTAACATCACTGATTTCCGGATTGTTGTACAGTCTTCCAAAACTATCTAATATCTGCCTGTCATTCGTGATCCATTCACCGGCAGGTGTGTGTGTTGCCAACATATCCATTTCCAGTTGTTTAAAATGACGTTCTTGGATGGACTAGTACCAGGACTTGAAACATACACCTGTCAAATCAGAAATGTACACTATTAAGAACCACAGTTCAACTCCTATATACCCAGTATCAGAGATTTACGTTACAATTCGAAGTTGGTTCAATTCAAGAAAGAACGTGTAACAATACCTTGTATGTCGTTCATGAGCGTCTTGCAATGACAAAATTATGTGCTATTTATGGTGGTGACGAACCTTGGAACCAATGACACGCCTTGTGTGACACTAGATATTTGCAGGTCGAGTTAATTATTGAAATTGTCAATCATGAACATTGACTTATGGGTAATACTGGTATCCGTACGTGTTATGAAGTACAATAACAATTTACATCATTAAAATATATCTATTTATTATTAACGAGATGTACAATGATTTATATTCTTTGGTTTATTGCATTTTAGATTATCCGACAAACAATAATTTACGATGCATTGTTACAGCTGTTCACATGGACCAATGTCAATATATATAAAGCCTAATCGAACCCTTCCCTGCATACAACTACAAATATTTTATGGAAAAAACCTAAACACAAACTTAATTACAGCGAGAACCATTTTAGACGTTTCTGTGATTTGCAAAAGACTCGTTAAAACACAAAACTTCTAATTTTAGGATGCTTCATTAAAATATCCGTCGCAGTTACCTTTACCTATAATGTTGCTCCCTACCAGAACAAATGGTATCGCTCAAACATAAACACAACTACTAATAATTGATAGCTTCTCGCATTTACAAAATGTCGCTCAAATGTGGCGATTCCATTTCTTTAAGAAGGATGGTAAAACACGAGGGTCACAAAATGACTCTAACTGTGGCTGTGATTTTGAGATGCAAATATCCTTGAGAAAAATGCAATTGAAGTAAAACAGGTCTGTTCATAGTTCTATTGCATGGCCGTTCTCCGAACACAACCGGCAGTCGTTCACATAGGGAAGAAAATTTACATAATTTAAAGCTAAATCATCATTATTTGTAATTTTAACCAGAAAGCTAGATCAGTTACCAGTAAATCGAACTGCCATTGCATTTGTGAAAACGGTCATGTAGTTGCACAAAACACTGATAAAACAAATTACGCAAATTATATAATTAAATTGTACGTATTTGTGCCAACAACTTTCAATTCAGCATTCTATGTGCCTTTCCAATCCTTTCCGCAGAATACGAGTTGCCTCGCGTATTCGTGCAACCATACAGTTAGACCCTTAATCGGTACGGCATTTCCTCCCGTTTGCACATGCATGACACAATATCACAGCGAGTACGAAAAATGATAACCCATTCAAATTCTTCTTTATTCGTACATCTGAACATACAATGATGAAAGTCGGAAAGTAACTTAGTTAATAAATAAATAAATATGTTTATTTAAAAAAATGCATATTTCATTTATTTAAAGCTCGGTAGTCATCGCGCAGCGAGTGTTCGAATTTCATGTAAATAAACAATGTATTTTACACGCGTTGTACACGTCGCTATGAGTCCCATATCAAACAGGACGCGGCACGACGACTGCCGCCCTTTAAATTATTTTGATTTATAAATGCCATACGTATGATTACGAATGAATATACATAAACCCACCTAGTTATAACCATACAAAATGCGATTTCAGAAAAGTTGTCGGATATCAGTGTTGTCATTTCGTACAAGAAACGTTTGTTGAGGGTATTAGGAATGATTGAAAGGGTTGATGAAAACAGGTCTGTTGACGAGTTATACATAGTCACGGTATTTTGTGTGGACGATGTAGGCCAACAATTTAAATTGGCCATCCCAGATTTAACATGTACTTGCTTTTCAACGTCACCGACAGCGTATATGCCGAGCATTATGTGTGGAGCATTGTAGTTTGTGTTGGATTTGAGGTGATGTGGATGTGCCCAGAGGTATACGAATGTAACGCATTTGTTTTGGAATTCGGAAATTGCAATCACTCGCTTGGCAGTCTAGATTGAGGTTCCAGGATCGTCGACGCTGACAGATACCGATATCCCGGGACCGATAAACGTCACAGATTGATATAAAGACAAAGATGATATATACTTACAATAACAATTGTAGTAAATACAACGTAGAAGAGTTGACAGGAACTAGATGTACTTATAGGGATGAGACAGGATGTGACTATCCGATAACGTCGATGTGGAAAACTGTAATGCACTACAGTTTGAGAAAATTACGTAAAATCTTTGTTCATTTGTGTTGGTGGTTATGTGGTTATTGAGGAATAACCGTCGACAACCACCACACCGCATTAATCGATTGTAATCCTCTTATAATTATAACAAACACTTTTTTTCAATAATTATGGAGCTAATAAATGTATTAGAAATAGTAGCAAATGAAAATTGATAATGAAGACAATTTAAAGAAGTACTTTTTTTTTTTATATACTTCATACTTATCTATCTATAAATGCCATTGAATTTAAGGTATTGTAACTAGACAAAGTTTAACTAAATTATAATTGAATTTCATTCCTGTATCATAGGATTGCATTTTAATTGAGTTTAATTAAATTGCATTCGGATATAGAATTGTAATTTAATTGAGGTTAATTAAACTGTAATAATTTTAATTAGGTATAGAAAATGATATTTATTTTTAATATAATCGTAAATTGTGGTTCAGTTGTGGCCCCGCAGTCATTTGAAGGCTGAAAGTCAAAATAAATCAATCAGTGCTATTTTAAAGGGCGGCAGTCGTCGTGCCGCGTCCTGTTCGATATGGGACTCATAGCGACGTATACAATGCATGTAAAATACATTGTTTATTTACATGAAATTCGAACACGCGCTGCGCGACGACCACCGCGCTTTAATTTTTCCCAGAGTTTTCTAACGCTATTATAGTAATCAAGTAAAAATAATAAAAAATAGTACCGATCGATTTATTTAGATTTTCAGCCCTCAAGTGACTATGGGTGAACCATAGAGAGTTTTCATTTTATAAGAGCAATTTTTTCTCTCTAAATTTTACTTCAGGCCATGTGTTTACTACAATAAATGCTCATTTCAGTGCAAGTTTTCTATAGCAGAAATCAAGGCACTTTACTTGTGCAATACAATTGAATATTGAATTGTGATCATGTTTAGGGAGAAAATAACCAAATAAGATCATGATGCCCTCCCATTAAAGAAACAAACAAACATAAAAACGACGACCCATCTGTATTAAGATTTTGCTGCCCACCCACGGTCGTAAAAACTTAGCCGTTCATGGGTTATGGGTAAGTGGGACAAAGTACTCTTCTTAAAGAAAGTAAACGTCCGCGTTGGCGGATGTATCCATAAAATACGAGGTTAAAAGGCTTTGAGGAAGTCGTCAACAGCAACACCAATACCTTTCGTCTGTGTATCTGGTGAATCGTGGGAATATGGCCTGGAAACTTGTCATTTTCACTTTCTTAGCTTTCCGTGAGTATTGTTTTTTACGTTTTAGACATATATGCGGGATAAATACTGTAGGCCAGCACGCTGGTATGTAAGCGTTGACCATAGGCGTTGACGTCCGTCTGACCATGGAGCTAAAAACTACTTGTTGTTTTCATGTGTAAATAAATATATAGTATCGACACGCACTACGATTCGCTACTATATAGGTGTCTTTGTTTAAAAGAAGTTGTGTTACTTATTCAAAACAACCAGAGTAAAAAAATCTTTGCACTTTTATGATGTTGGCCAGTACTTGTAAGTTGTGAGTGCACACGTCGTCTGCAGAAAGCCTCCACGAAGCCGATATGAATGTCAAAAGACTGCGCCGGCAGTCGATGTGTCAAGCGGTGACTTTTGATTTCTTTTCTTTCATTGTTCGAATGTCTTTCGCACAACCCCAGTTTTTACTGGGCGTTTCCGTTCAAGTATCTAATAATCTTTTTATTACACACCATCACCACACCACCCTAGAATGGCTTTTTATAGCTTTTAACTCTCAAAGAGTATTACTGTTCCTTTAAGAAAGCAGACAATTGTTTATTTAATCGGGTGGGTGGAGATAAAAGTTGTAAACTGTAAAAGCTCTACATATAAAAATAAAACTGATAAAATAATGGCTTCAACCCCCACTAAATAATGTGAGGTTATCAGGAGATCAGCACACAAAGTATGTAGGAAGGCATTATGGTGAGTATATCGACTGAGGTGTAGTGGAGATTGGTACGACCCGTACTACCTCATTATAACTTTATTATTATACATATTTTTCCTGATTGAGAGATTTATTGAGAGGAACAAAAACAGTGAGATTTTTTTTCAAAACAAAGAATTTCAGAAGTTCAGAACAAAAAATCTTAATTTAGGCATTGAAATGAGTAGGCATATACTAATCCAAAAACACCTTTAGAAGATTGAATTTGTGGTCAGTGTTTACATCAAGAAATAGAAAATGAACTATACTTTTTCATGGAATACCCGGTACCCCAAATATCTATCACTTGAAAGTATTTGTCTACAGTAATGTTTCTCATTGACATACAAAATAATCTCCAGAAATTCATTTATTGAACAGCACAGATATAAAAAACAATATTATCGAATCTGTAGAATTTCACGCAATATTCTTTTAGTAAGAATGAAAAACATGATTTGTATTTTTATCCACAATTGCACTTATTAGTCCCCGTTCGGACGCAGTCCAAAAACGGAAACTTATGTTTTGACCTCTGTGTGTGCGTCTGTGCATGCATCCGGACCTGTATCTTAGAAATGCCTGGACCAATCACAATCAAACTTCACACATACATCATACATGATATTATACATATGCACGTCAATTTGTTTCACGATCTGATTCAAGATGGCCAAATGGCAGCCATTTTTGTGCTAAAAATCATCAAAATCAAGCATTTCTCTGCTGTTTACAGATGGATTTTGTTCAAACTTGGTATATACATTAGACATTATTGGACCTTGATGCAAATAATTTTGTTTTTCAGATAAGATTCAAAATGGCCGACTGGCGGCCATTTTGTATTAATGAATGTGGTTCTCGTGCCATATCTCTGACTTGCTTTCACTGATTATGTTCTAATTTTAAATATTCATTATACATCATGTCATAGATAGACAGATATATTGGTTTGACGATCCTATTCAAAATGGCCAAATGGTGGCCTTTTTTGTGCTAACAATCATCAAATATCAAGCATTTCTGGCATTTATGGATGGATTGTGTTCAAACTTGGTACATATATTAGACATTACAGGTTCCTGATGCACATCATTTATTGTTCAGATCGGATTCAAAATGGCTGTCTGGCGGCCATTTTGTTTTAATGAATGGGCTTCTAGACCCATATTTCCAACTTGTTTTGACTGATAATATTTTTAAATTTTAAATATTCATTATACATCATGTCATAGAGAGACAGATATATTGATTTGACTATCCTATTCAAAATGGCCGAATGGTGGTCTTTTTTGTGCTAACAATCATTAAATATCAAGCATTTCTGACATTTATGGATGGATTTCGTTCAAACTTGGTACATATATTAGACATTACAGGTTCCTGATGCACATCATTTATTTTTCAGATTGGATTCAAAATAGCTGTCTGGCGGCCATTTTGTTTTAATGATTGGGCTTCAAGAGCCATATCTCTTAAATGCTTTGACTTATTATATTTAAATTTTATATATTCGTTATACATCATGTTATATATATACATGTATTCAAAATGGCTGATTTTGAATGCTGTTCCAGAGCAATTTCTCTCAATATGGTCAAGTACTTGTTTGATGATCCGATACAAATGACAATCATATTAATGTTAAAAAAATCATATTCCTGACATGGTTATATTCCAGCTATATATTTCTTAAATTTCATAACTAACAGGGACTGTGCCATGCATGGCTTGTTTTCACTGATATTTGATTATTTAATTTATTTTATTTACACGAATTCATTCCAGCAAAAAACTTGCGAGTTTCAGAGTTGCAAATGTTATAATTTTATTTATCATTTGTGCTGCAGGTTACTGTCGTAGTGAAAGTGATACAAAACAATGGATACCAAACACTAACTATGATAATCCCAACAACTGGAATGTTGGTCGACTTCCCTGTCACAATGATCATATTATTTGGACAGAGGATGTAAGTATACAGTCTTTTTTGAACAATCTACATCAGCATATTGGATGCTATGCAAGTTGATATTGATAATTTTTTTTTCAAATCATTTGGTAATAACTATGCTTGATTGTTGCAAAGACACTACAAACTATTTTCTAGTGTCTTTGGTTGTTGCTGTACAGCAATCAAATTCATTAAAGCTATCATGACACTTGATTTTAGGTATCAGTGTTTCTTCAAACCAACACAACTATGAGAGAATTGACCCTACCATTGAATGGTGTTATAACTCTGGCTGATAATACAGTCCTTAGTCTCTCTGATCAAGATGTGGATCCTGAATGTGAAGGAACAGGTAATTTATATATATCAGCCAACATGTTGCTGTTGTATGGCAGTCAAACAATAATACAGATACCATAATTTTTTTTAACTTTCCATTCATATAAGAGTTACGCTATATGTTTCATTCCACTAAAGCCATTGAGCTTGCTTGTATTTTGACCAAATTTTAGAAATAAAGGGTACAAAAATACAATTGTATGCTATTTCACTAAATGAATTTAGGGTAAAAAAACATTCTTGCTAAAAAAACATGTAATATGTATTACTGTTTTTGTTGTTTCTGTTAGATGTTGAGTTCCTTCGCTCTGGTACCAAAGATTGGTTAGATCCTGATAACTGGCTTAGTTCCCAAGAGTCAATACTGGTGGAAACTGAGAAGGTTCCTTGCACTTTTGATTCTGTTATATTCCCAGAAAATAATAAATATCTTGTGTGGCTGGATAATGATATTACTGTTGGAAAGATTACCTTTGATGGTCAGGTACATATATTTATTTAATATGTATTTAATCCCTCAACATAGATTATAGTATAGATGATAATGGATACATTGCACAAAAACATAGACTTGAAAAACAAAAGCATGTCAACCTGGATGTAGATTCCATGTAGATATCATATAGATGCTTTGTAAATGCCATGTAGTTGCTATGTAGATGCCATATAGATGCTTTGTAGATGCCCTGCAGATGCTTTGTAAATGCCATTTAAACGCTTTGTAGATGCCATGTAGATGCTTTGTAGATGCCATATAAACGCTTTGTAGATGCCATATAAACGCTTTGTAGATGCTTTGTAGATGCGATATAGATGCTTTGTAGATGCCATGTAAATAATATGTAGATGCCATATAGATGCTTTGTAGATGCTTTGTAGATGCCATATAGATGCTTTGTAGATGCCATGTAAATAATATGTAGATGCCATATAGATGCTTTGTAGATGCCATGTAAATAATAGGTTGATGCCATATAGATGCTTTGTAGATACCATGTAGATGCCATGTAGATGCTTTGTAGATACCATGTAGATGCTTTGTAGATGCCATGTAGATGCTTTGTAGATATCATATAGATGCTTTGTAAATGCCATGTAGATGCCATATAGATGCTTTGTAGATGCCCTGCAGATGCTTTGTAAATGCCATATAAACGCTTTGTAGGTGCTTTGTACATGCCATATAAACGCTTTGTAGATGCTTTGTAGATGCCATATAGATGCTTTGTAGATGCCATGTAAATAATATGTAGATGCCATATAGATGCTTTGTAGATACAATGTAGATGTTTGTAGATGCCATGTAGATTCCATTCAGATGTCATCTAGATTCTATGTAGATGTAATTTTGATACCTTGTAGATGCCTTGTGGATTGTGGCTGTCTATTGCACACATTTGATTAGGTAAAAAAACTGCAAGCCCTTTGTTTGTGTAGTGGTAACACATGGAAACTATGGTAGACTGTAATGCGTATATAAATTATTACGTCGTTTATTTTGATAGAGAAGTCTGACATCGTGATACAATGAGGACAATCACACCAAGCATATACTGAAACACCCTTTATATAGGGTTAATCGATTAACACCTCGGATTTTAAAGTTGGAGAGAAACACAGTGATTGGTTTGTAATGTGAGAAGGTCACTATCAAGTATACATTGCAATGTAATCTGCTACAATGTTGCAATTTTTCTTGTGTTTGTAGTGATAACAGTGTTTTTGTGACATTACATAAATGCCTTACATAAACCGATTTGTGCTTTTTTGCAATAGAGATACATGTATTATGAGGTTAAATCAGGCATAAAAAAACTTCTATCTGTAGTAGTTATATCTCCATGAATAATGCTTGGAATTGAATGAAACAAATATGAACAAATACAAAAAAATCATTGTCTATCAATAAAAATGAATACGAATGAAAAATAACAATTACAATAAACAACAACAACAATGCATGAATCAAAAAACACACACGTGGATAAGTATCCACGATATGGATGTCATGCAGATGCCTTGTAAGATGTCTTGTAGATATGATTTCTGTACTCTGTTACTGGATACTGTACTTTTTTGCAGGCTTATGTTAATGGAAAATCTTTTAGAGATGACATGATGAGTTCTGATCAGCTTAGATCCAACTCTCCGCGAAATTTGAATATACTAAATACAGAATGCGCTGATCCGTCAGGATGTGCCTGTAGAAGAAATGATACGCAGGTATGGGTATACTCATCAAACAAATAAGGGATATACAAATTTGTGTAAACAAATGTAAATGGTGGTAGGTAATTATAGTCCTATTATTCAATATAACCATGTATTTCAGGCAATGTACCCTTCTTCAGTAGATAATCTGAATCAGAATATGATTATCCACTGAATGTTACAAGAATGATTACCTACTACCATTTTTAGCTCGGCTATCGACTTAGTCAAGCACAGCTTATCATATGAGTGATTTCCATCGTCGTCGTCCGTGTCAACTTTTTCGACTTCGAAAACTACAAGCCCTATTGCTTTGATACTTGGTGTATATGTACCTTGGGCAGACCTCTTTTTGATATTACATATACATGTAGGTGATACAGGTGGTTCTCTCTCAGATTTGTTCATTTCAGAATGATATCTTCAATTCTCTAATTTTGATGAGTGTTTTTGTCATTTTTGGTAAAAAGTGATATTTTCAACTTTTTTTTAAAAAACCACAAGTCTGATTGCTTTGATGTTATACATGTAGTTACCTCAGGTAGACCTCTCTCAGATTTGTTCATTTCATGATGATTTCTTCCATTCTCTAATTTTGATGAGTATTTTTGTCATTTTTGGTAAAAAGTGATATTTTTGAATTCTTGTTGAAAACAGCAAGTCTGATTATTTTGATACCATACATGTAGGTACTACAGCTAAACCTCTCTCACATTTGTTCATTTTCTAATGATATCTTCAGTTCTTAATTGAATTGTGCATTGCTAACAGCGGAGCTACAATGTATCTCAGCCGAGAGACTGCTTCTCTATATATATTATATTTAACATTCCGAGAAGCTTTTTTCATATCTTTTTGTTCAAATGCAGATTGGGTATTGACGTACGGCTTTAAATAAATAAATGTATACTGTAGTTGCCTACACAGGTTGGGTATTGTATTAATGTACATTTATTATTGCAGTTGAGCCAATATATTTGTAGCAAGGTCAATTGTTATGAGCCATTATGTCAAGAAGGATTCGCCCCTGTTGGTGGTTGTTGTCAAATGTGTGGTAAGTAGTTAACTCCATTCACAAAGGCTTGACTCAATAACCAACTGTTTAGTAATTATATAGTAATTAATATTCATATATGGGTATACATACTGATATCGTTCATGACCTTATGGCATTATGAGTACCGGTAGGCCCTCAGGAATATTAGATTTGAGCTCAAGTTATCAACCAAATTGGGGAATTGGTGGGAAAATGAAGGTGTGGAGAGGGTAGTGTAAGCGACTAGCAGCTACCAAGGGCTATTCATCAATTTAATGATGGTTTACCATACATGGTAGTCTATTCAGCTATCTAATGATGGTCTACCATACATGGTAGTCTATTCAGCTGTTTAATAATGGTGTACCATACAGGGTAGTCTATTCAGCAATCTAATGATGGTCTACCATACATGAAAGTCTATTCAGCTATCTAATGATGGTCTACCATGCATGGTAGTCTATTCAGCTATCTAATGACTGTGTACCATACATGGTAGTCTATTCAGCTATCTAATGATGGTGTTCCATACATGGTAGTCTATTCAGCTATCTAATGATGGTGTACCATACATGGTAGTCTATTCAGCTATCTAATGATGGTGTACCATACATGGTGGTCTATTCAGCTATCCAATGATGGTGTACCATACATATTAGTCTATTCAGCTATCTAATGATGGTGTACCATACATATTAGTCTATTCAGCTATCTAATGATGGTGTACCATGCATGGTAGTCTATTCAGCTATTAATGATGGTGTACCATACATGGTAGTCTATTCAGCTAT